AAAAATTTTAATGAGCGATAGTAGAGGCCAAAATAAGACGAAAATCAAGAATACTAATTTGTTGACGGAAGCTTCGTTAAAAAGTTATTAACAATTAAATTCAAAAATTTCAAATCGTTCTGGAAAAATTATTTTCGGTTGCGGGGGTCAACTACAATCATTTTTGGTGAGTACACATACCTCCGAAATCCTATCTACTTTCGAGAAAAAAAATCGAGTAGGTGCTGAAATTTTTCGGCGACAAAAAATTTTTCAAATCGTTCTAAAAAAATTATTTTCGGTTGCGGGGATCAATTACAATCATTTTTTATCATTACACATACCTCCGAAATTGTACGCACTTTCGAGAAAAAAATTCCTTACTGAAAATCCAATTAGGTGCCTAAATTTTTCAACGGAGAAAAAAAATTGCAAATCGTTGTGGAAAAATTATTTTCGGTTGCGGGGGTCAATTACAATCAGTTTTTGTCATTAGACATACCCACGAAATCCTGCCCACTTTCGAGAAAAAAAATAGAGAAGATGTGAAATTATTCGAGAAAATTAAAAAATTGCAAATCGTTGTGGAAAAATTATTTTCGGTTGTAGGGTTCAATTACAGTCATTTTTGGTGAATAGACATACCCCCGAAATCTTGCGCATTTTCGAGAAAAAAATTCAGTAAGGGCGGCACTTTAAACGTTAATAACTTTTTAACGAAGCTTCCATCAACAAATTGGTATTCTTGATTTTCGTCTTATTTTGGCCTTACTATCGCTCATTAAAATTTTTGCTAGAGGTGGCCGAACACCCTGTATAAGGAATTAGGTACGACCCCATACGTTTTTCTTCGACACGACGCTACAAAAAGACCTTTCCAGCTGGTATACGATGGCCCATATAGAGTTTTGGAGCGAAACGCTAAAACATTTAAATTAGAAATAAATCGTAAACCGACAGTAGTATCAATCGACCGTTTAAAGCCAGCTCATATTCTGAACGAAGATTTGCCGGAAAATCAATACACTCAGTCTCAGTCCATTGTACATTATCATCAAAGTAGCAATCGTATTGTAAATTCCGAACAATTAAATACACAAAACCGAGAACAGCGATATAATCTACGAAGACAAGTTAGATTTCCAGACCGTTTTCAAGCCGGATTCAGTTAATAATAGTAGTCGTAACACAATGTGTAAAATTTAACATTTAAAACAGTAAGATATACATTGTACCCTTCGTTACAATGTAAAGCGAGTTAGCGTTAACACTGGCGAGAGGGTGATGTAGCGGCCGGCGACAGGTAAGAAAGAGACTTCCTCGCCGCCGGGCCGAGCGACAAGGATGAGTGTGAAAAACAATTGAATGCGCGAATGTATGTATGTGAGTGAATGTGTGGCCGCATGGGCCCAGTCTAGAGCGAACCATCGCAGCGCATAGTACAATAAAATATTTCCTAAATCTAAACGGCAGTTTTATTTCCGCGATCCCATAAGATATACAAAAACTGTCGCAAGGTAAAATTAAACGGCATCGTATTATGCACAAACTGAATATAATTCTATTCATTTTTATACAATTGATGCAACTGTATCCTTTTTTTAAATGGAACTCTATAATTTTGATCGCACTATTCAATGCAGTTTTTTAATCTCCACAAAAAAAAGGTATTGATACTTGTGTCTTAAATCTAATAATTGAAGAGTTATAATACTCTAAATTTACTAAATTTTATTAACAAAAAATGAGAAACGGAGAAGTTGTAAATGACACGAGATCAATACTAACAGACAATTATTTATTTAGATCAGTACTAATAAATTATTTATTAAACTAAGTTATAATATTAAACACAAATATGGAAAATAAACATTGTTTCTACAAAAAAAAATTGAAATTAATTGTGTACCTATGGGTTATTTGCTTTCACAATTTTGACAAACATATAAATCATGTTGTTTAATGCACTCTTTGTGTGCCTAATCCTTGCACTCTATGCATTGCACTAAATTTTCCATTTTGTTTACTAAATGTTGGAAATGTATCCGCGGGATGGCGTGGCGAGCGGTGCGTGTGTGAGTTCGTTTCAGTTACCGTTATGGCTAAGAGTGTTTCTTTTCTTTTCTCCCGAGCCATTTTTTAAAGTTTGGAAATAAAAAATAGTCACTGTTGTAATAATTCGACCATTAATTCCATGATTTTAGCCATCGAAACTGCACAGGTGTGCATCTGTACATTGTCTCGACGCAAGAGGAAGTTTCTTGCTTCGATCGACAATAAAAATGAAACCACGTGATGGATATAACTGAAACTTTAACAGTTGTCTAGTGAGTCATGATGCTTACTAAAAACAAACCATTTTTTATGCTACGAGCGCCAGGTCTTCAATTTTCTGACTTATCGAACGGCCCTCGTAATTCTGCAAAAGAAAAAAAGCAATAGCTCAAATCGTAAGAATAAACGAGCCAAAAATGTAGCGAACTTATAATATTGGCCAGCATTGTGTTAGACTTTATCGCGAGCGTAGCCTCGTTGTCGCAAAAGTTGCAAAGAACTTGTAACGAGTGAATCTGATAATTGTATACAGCAACGGGGTTAAAGAATCGAAGAGAGAAGCTAGGTTAGAATAGCGAAGATGTTAAAGTGGCCTGTTTCCAGTGGAACACCCTGTAGAGTGGGTCTTGCGGTGGCAGGAGGTACGAGAGGCAGGAAGAGGAAGATGGAAAGAGGGAGACAGAGTCAGTAGTCAGCCAGGATGGAATTAGGTGGAAACCCGCGGGACTGGTGCCTCTCCCCACGGAATTCCCGGCCTCTGTAATCACCAGTTCTCCTATCCTATCCAATTCTGGTCGCGCTGCTCCCTTCCTCTTCTCGCTTTTACTATTTTCTCGCCTCCTTCCTCTTTCTGCCCTTTCCAGCGTCTTTTTCCCTTTTTTTTTTTAAATTCTTTTTTTTTTCTCATTTCAGTTCTCTCTTTTTCGTTCGCTCTCTCCCGTTTCGTCTAACGTTCCACATCGTCTACGGCTCGTTTCTTCCTTCCGCGGTGCTATTTCCTCCCGTTTCCTCATCCTCTTTTTGTCATCGCGTTGAGATCCACCGTCCGTTACGCGTCACACGCGCTTCGCGCATCGCGCCATGCAAATTCCGCGGGAATCGTGGACCGTGAAACACCTGGTGCTTGGGATCTCTGGGAAGCTACAGTGGTGGCCATACACTTAAGAACACTTAATTAAATTGAATATTATGTTTTTTTTTTATTTATACACTACCAGGTATGTAAATATGAAACCGGAATTTTTCTACAGAAAATACACGTTTATTTTATAAAAATGGTAAAAAATACTTTATTCGAAGTTTTGCCCATCACTAGCAATACATTTTTCTCATCTCTCTGACAATTCGTGGATGCCACGTCAAAGAAACTGTTCCTTGAGCCATTGTCGTACATTCTCGTAAGATGTGAAGTACTGCTCAATTAGTGAGTGCCCCATCGATGCAAATAAGTAATAATCAGATGGAGCCAAGTCTGGTGAGTAAGCCGCATGCGAAAGTATTTCCCAACTAAACGCCTCAATCGTTTCCTTGACCACTTTATTGATATTCTGGTCGTTTTTCACGCAAAGCTTGATTCAAATCGATCATTTGTTGTTGGTAGCGTTTAGTATCAACGGTTTCGCTAGGTTTTAGCAACTCGTAATAGATCAGACCTTTCTGATCCCACCAAACACAGAGCATTGTCTTGCGCTCATAGCGATTTGGCCTTGCAGTCGATCTCGATGGTTCACCTGGAGTTACCCATGATCTTTTACGCTTAGGATTCTCGAAATATATCCACTTTTCATCGCCAGTCAGAATTCGATGGAGAAATGACTTTCTTTTGTACCTGGTGAGCAGCATTTCGCAAGTGGTTTTTCGGTTTTCCTGCTGTCTTTCATTCAGTTCACGTGGAACCCATTTTCCCATCTTTTGGATCTTTCCCATGGCTTTCAAACGTATGGAGACGGCCTCTCGTGTCACGTTTAATTGATTTGCGAGTTCTTGTTGCGTTTGAGCGTCATCCTCATCCAACAATGATTGCAACTCGCTGTCTTCAAACTTTTTCGGTGGTCTTCCACGTTCTTCGTTTCTCACGTGAAAATCGCCACTTTTGAATTTTTTAAACCATGCAAAGCACTGTGATTTACCAAGGAGCATGCTCACCGTAAGCTTCGACAAGCATTCGATGCGATTCTGCAGCGGTTTTTTTCAAATGACAACAGAAAGTCAATGCTGTCCGTAAATCGTAGTCTCCAGGCACAAAATTCGACATGTTCAACGTTATTAAAAACTATGCCATTGTATGAAACTTGTATTGTTGTGAGTTGCAAATCCTTATCACATGTCAAAACAAAAAAATAGTGTCAATGAAACGGTCTCAAGGTAACAACATTAACAGTTAGCGCCACGTATGGGGAATTCCGGTTTCATATTTACAGACGTGGTAAACATATAATATAAAAGTGAATTATATTTTTTACAAGTTTAGACGTAGCAGTTACATAAACCAAAATAATATTTTTTGATCGTCAACTTTTGGGAAGTTGTTTTGCATTTGTGAAAGCTACAGTGGCGGCCATATACTTAAGAACACTTAATTAAATTGAATATCATGTGTTTTTTTTGTATTTATACACTAAACATATAATATAAAAGTGAATTATATTTTTTACAAATTAATATAACTACACGTGGAACGGAGTTGGAACACTACATATATTTTATTTGCATATACTAACTGATGACAAGAAAACTTTTAAATAAAATCAATTTTTTCTTTTTATTTAACAAAAAAACATAGTGGAACTGTTATTTTAGTGGTACAAAATTGAGGGTATACGTAGGAATTTTAAAATTTCGCAAGTTTTTTATTGTTTGGAAGTTGGTACAATTTATGGAGAAGTCCTGTGAAATTTGACTCCGCTGTAGGAAAAATGACAGGCCAACCACGGAGTGATGTTCATTTTAAGAATCATTACTCTATTGGTGATGTGAACACGAATGTTGTTGCGTTGAAAAATGACGCCATTTTTGTTGAATAGCTTCATCGAGGCGATGCGTTTGTTGAATATACATAGAGCTTCGTTCGCATTGACCAGTCTCGTTGTTTTCACGGAGCTCGTAGTTTGATCGAACACTAGGAGAAGCAAGTATCGAAAGTACTCGTTATTATCGAGTTGACATTTCATTTCTCGAACCTAAAAATAAAATTTACATCCTGTATACAAATTTAAATTCATTTTCAATCAAATAAACAATTTATAATCGAGTTTTATCGCACACCAGTCTTATAATCGATAGGAATTGCTAAAACTTTATTGAAGACAGCATAAATAATAATGGTTGACATACTCGTCGGATAGAGGATGAAATACCCTTTAAAACGAGTGTTCATTCGAGTCGATCGCGTGGTTAGTTCCGAAGATATAAGGGTTCGAAGTGTTTGTTTACTTCTCATTGTTGACATCGCGAGGTCATTGCCCGCGCGTGCAAATAGTAAACAGTGCGTAGTAAATTCTTGGAAATACTACGTCACTCGGTCACGGCTGTCACGAATGCACGTCTGCACGTACGAGAGTGAGGTCCGACACGTTAGACGGAGACGGAGACAGACAAATTAAAAAAATTACCCCTTCACATAAATTATGATATTACCAAAACGGAAAGTCAGACCGACATAAACGAAAAACCATTTCAAAAAGGAAATGTTACTGCTTCTAACGGTGCCTCAATCATACGCGTTAATTAGTCTGTTGTAACACGGAGAGATGAATTTTAAAAATTACCCCTTTATTTAAATTACGATATTTCCAAAACGGAAAGTCGGATCGACATAAACCAAAAATCATTTTTAAGGGGAGCCCTTGCCACTTCTAACAGTAGCTCAATTATGGGGAAAACACTAGTGGTGTTGGAATTGTACGCGTGTAAAGTTTTTAGACTGTTCTAAGACAGTGGAAACTGAAGATTCCCTTCTTTCATCCTCCATTCATTGCTGTATGTTTCCTATTTATATTGGAAACTAACCAGAATTTGATACCAAATTTTGTCCTGCTTTTTAAAAAAAAAATATAAATGATTCAATCGGTCGTGGTAGGCAAGACAGACTACATATGTTTTTCAGAAAAAAAATTTCATAAATATTTCGTTCATTGTACGTATACTATAAAAAAAGTCGTGAAGTTAAGTGGCGCTAAAATAACATTGTATGTTAGAAACTCTAAATGAAATTTTAAAAAAGGTCATTTGACCGATCGTGGAAAACCTAGCTGCAAGTTTATGAGGATGGCCTATCAAGAAAATATACATATAATTATTCGGCGGAGAGTACTAGAAGCTTCTTTTCTGTGCTGTCTGCTTATACATATATTCGCAAAAAATCGTCTCCTTTTCAACCGTAGCACGTATACGCCCCCCGCATCGTATAATAATTTAATGAAAAGCCGCTAACTTAATCCTAGTTAGAAGTTACATTATAATCACTATAACCACCGGTGCAGGAATTAGGGCTGTCACTGCAAAAACTAATAGCGGATTAAGTTTTAGAGGAGCCACGATTAAAGGGATTAAAACCGTAAGCTGGAAATTTACATTGTACCACTGGTTCCTGGGCCTGTCTGATGCGATATTTCTTGAATTATTTCTGGCCAATCGACTCACGACGAATTAATCGATCTTTCGAGTTTCTTCGCAAAGAATAGTCATATTTGAATCGACTATAAAGGTGAACAGACGATGACTAAGATTTGAAAGAATGATATTAACTCGAATTTTTCTATGTCTTATGTATAAATAAAATTATTTTTATATGTTCTATATTGCATTAATTTCTGCACACCATTGTTCTAACAATGGTAGTATTGACATTTATTCTGATTACTGCCAAATTGAGTGCCGGTCACCGGTGACCCCTATCGAATTAATATTTTCCTATTTAAAAAAATTATTTTAATTAGAAGTTCCAAAATTAACACGACCGATTAATATTTCCCTCGTGTATCCGTACATATTTATCTCGAATTTATTTAAACAAAGGTACGCAAACTTATAAAACGATACGAAATAATAATTCGAAACGAAAGAACGGTAACGAAAGTCACGGCGAAAATCTTCGATCGCCGAATGAAACCCGTTAATAATCGTACGGGTCGGTGTGTTAATTAAGAGATTATTATTATGCATTCACGCGAGAGACGCAAATTACAATCACGACCCTGAAGCATAATGCGCAGTGATTCGGTTCGTTGCGTCCTGCTTCCCGGTTATAATGTTTACGTTTATACGATCAGAGACAATCGAATATGTTCCTATATAATGTCGAATACTAATGACAAATATTAATTGCAAATCTCATAACGAAAAGTTCCTGTTCGATATCACCATGATTGTTTCAGAGAGTAAATCTATTCTCTGGAGCAAATAAGAAATATTTTATGAACATATAGACTTTACATAAAATTAAAATTCATATTTCTGAGTTAATAGACTAAATTAAGCACGGGAATAATTGGTACAAACATACTGTTATTTACAATAGATTGTGCCCAGAGTGATTCCAGGAATTAAAAAATAAATTGAATATATTGAAAAATTTGTATGATATAATGCACTTCTTTTTTTAAGTATTTTGTTGTATGAATTAATTTTTCTCACCACTCCTCGCGTGAAAGTATTAAGATACGACCATTAAAAAATGTAATCTCTTATGAAATATTTCGTTCGAAGAGTAGTGCAACGCTCAGAGATCGTTGCTCCTTCAATGCATGGATAAAAAATTGAAAGTAACGGTTAATAGGAGCGCTATAATTGAAAACCGAAATTGAAACCACGACTACGTTGTTAGAATTCTGGAACAGCGGTCGTATCTTTGGTAAATTTGAATAATAATGAGTTACGGGTTTGAAACTTCGAAACAAGTTGTCGTAAAAATTAAATAGCGTTATTTCTTTGAAGATATTCTTTTTCAAATTACTGCTGCTAGAACGAGCCAAAATACCTTGCATTAACTGAATTTTTGTTTGCATTAAATGCGATCTGGTATCGTTTTATAATTCGTACTAAATTGAATATCGTATTATTTGTACCCGTAGGTGTACGTGAATTTTAATATAAAAGTAGAAACCTGTTAAATTTATTCTCTGATGTTTAATGTGCTCATAAGCGTGGGTCAGAGATGACCCCGATCTGTCATTTGAGCATCCGTCATTGTTAAATGTGTTCTTCGTAACAAGAATTTTCTCGAAATATTTCTTGGTTGTAATATGTTCCTTCCCCGCGATCAAGAATAAAAAATATTGAATGTTTTAATTTTGTATTTCATTTCATGGAATTGATAATAAACACTCTGATATATGAACATTGTAATTTGGTAATATAAATAACAAATCGGGGTTAATAATTACATTAAAATCCATGCAAGCCTGAATAGTTAACACGTAGCATATATTTATCTAGTATATTTTTGTTGTATTTATAAGTTATTACTTTTTTCTTCCTTTAAAAGTGTATATAATATATAATTTTCTTTCTTTGTAAAATTTCCCAAAAATTACAAAAAAAACGAAACATCTGCTTTTTCATTTTTAGACTAAAATTAGTTCTTTTCATGCACTTTGAATTGGTATTTCATCTGCTTCTGAATGCTCTACTCTTGAGATAACTTGTTTTTAAAATCGATGAACCAATAACGAATAATAACAAAGTTATCGCCACGAGTTATCTAAAAAACGAATTTTATTTGTTTGTAATTGTTTTATCTGTTTGTTATTTATGTTTAAATGTATTTAAAAATATATACAAGTTTGCTTCGTTTTTATTACGCGTACAGAGAAATATTAGTTTTAATTAGTTATATCACGTTAAAAATTACATTTGCAATATATAAATGCAACTAACGTATCAATGATATGTAAATAAGACTATTTTACCTGAAAATGGATTTTTGATTTTTTCTCTCTATATGGTAGGAAAATAAGAAGATATCCTACATATTTTCTTTGTCGAACGAAACGTATTGTTATAAGAGGAGCCAAAATAGGGAACAATGACCAATCGAACGAAAGATAACAAAGAATAGAGTGCACGGGAGCCGTTACCGTCGAGATCCGTGAAATTCGACGAATTTCGAGCGACGACAAGCACGTGGAACCAGTTAGCTCGTGGAGATATGATTATTTCGTGGACGAGTGACGAGCAGAAGTAGCCCAAAAGCCGACAGCGCAAACAGATGGGCCTCCATTAACGCAATTACGAACGGTTCCGATGCACCTACGGATCGTCCACGTTATGACGGGCATTGGAATCCATTAATACAGCTTCGGTTGCGCCCAGGTTCATTATCGTGCATTAATTAGCGACACCCTATATCACCTATGTTCGCAATGCTATCGGCCAGGCTTGCTATTTCGTGGCTAACCGCGTGTTCGTGATGCGTTCTGTACGTGATGGTGGTGGTGCTTGCTGATCCGATAGGACGACATCGAATTGCTTTCGCCGGAAACGCGCGATTTCTGCCCGCTCTCTGTTCCTTCAGCAACGAAATTATGCTCTCGCGTGTACGTTTGGATCAAACTCGATCAGCGATTCGCAATTTTCGTCGCAGCGAGCTCGGCGACAGGGAACTCGGTTGATACGGTACGCGGAAATAAACAGCTTTTTCGCTGCATCCATCAAGGGGCCATTCTACCTTGTAAACAACAAAAGATGTTTCCTTGTGATTTTTTTTTGCGGGCTATTAAAAAGCGATTAATTCCGGGTTTTGTGGATATATTTCTTATATAGAGTGTTCGGCCACCCTTGGTAAAATTTTAATGGGAGATACTACAGGCCAGAATAAGACGAAAATCAAGAAGAAAAAGAATTTTTTTTACAAATACGGTTAGGATTTCGAGGGTATGTGTATTCACCAAAAATGATTGTAAGTGACCCCCACAATCAAAAATTAATTTTTCCAGAACGATATGAAATTGTTTAATTTTATCGACTTTGTCCACCTATTCGAATTTTTTTCTCGAAAGTGTATAAGATTTTGGGGGTGTGTCTATTCATCACAAATTATTGTAATTGACCCCCACAACCGAAAATAATTTTTCTAGAATGATTTGAAATTTTTTAATTTTGTCGAAGAATTTTAGAGAATTTTGTCGATTTTTCTTAAAAATTCGTTTTTCATTTTTAATTCATTTGGTTGACGCTGTAC